CAACGAAAAGTGACAGCCCCCTCTTTCTCACTGCTCCTACCACCTGTGGTGAAACCCACTAGGGGCTGTGGGAAGGCCAAGGAAGGAATGCTTGATCCCAGGGAGACAGGGAGGATTCACAGAGCAGGGGATCTTGAGGTGAGGCATCCAGGACAGAGGTTGGGGGGCCGACTGAGAAAGAACTCGTGCTGGAGAAAAGGTGCAGAGAGGAAAGAAGAGCGGAGAAGCAGGGAAGAGAGCTGGGTGCCGGGAGGCAGGGTGTAGGGGCCACAGTGGAGGCTGCACTGATTGTGAGGATGGATGGGGACAGGCTGAGGGTAGAGGAGCTGGACTGAGAAAGCGCATCGGTGGGCAGTGGGATGCTGCTGAGCCAGAGGAGGGGTGCCTATGACCAGACAGGGTCACCAGAGAACACATGCTCATGGACAGGGAGGTTCTCAGACACATATGTGGAGATAGCCACACACAGAACATCCCTGAGCATGCGGAGGCACCATGGAGAGATGGAAACACACACACACAGACACATGTGCACACTCAGACACACAGACACGAAGCCAGTTTGCAGACTCGCACAAGAGAGGATAGGTGTGCACAAAACACAACCACAGAGCACGTGTACCCAGTTCATCAGACTACACTGGAAACGGTGACCAACTCATGCCAGTTCGCCCAGGACACTCCCATCTCACCTTTCAAAGCCTCACATCCTGGAAACCCCTCGGTCCCAGGCAAACCGGGACAGTTGTTGAGCAGGACTAAAGCCCAGGTTGACAGAGACATGGATCTGTCACACCTCTCTGGTCCTGGTTTTAAGCAGAGTTGTCCTCGTTAGCATTCAGGGAGTCAGACATCCCCGGGGCTGGTGGGCAGGAGGTGAGGGCTCCCTACTGCTCCACAGTATGACCTGGGGCCAGGCATCCCCCCTCTGGGCCTCTGGGTCCCCATTTGCACAATAAACCCAGCAGAGGGGGTGGTAAGAGTAAAGATCTGGGGCCAGCCCACCTGGGTTCACCCCCAGCTCTGTCTTAACCAGCTCAGTGAGCTGTCCTCATTTGTGATAAGTATGGCTCCCAGGGCAGTGGTAAGGGTTGGATGGATGGATGCTCATGAAGCACCCACTACTGGGCCTGGCATGGTCAGAGCTCAATAAATGTTCACTACTTGTATTTATTCTCCTGTGGGCTCCCTGATCCCCAGGCCCCCCGACCCCCCACTCAGTGCACCTTCCACTCCATTAACCTAGAAGAAACCTCCCGCCCTAGGCAGGGCAGGTGCGGCCCCACCCCCAGTCTTCCCCAGGAATCCGGCTCCTTTGTCCTGTTCTGCTGACTCCCAGATTGTCCCGGCACAGTGGCCCCAGCCCCCCCGACTATGTCCTGAAGACCCCTACTGGGACCCTCTTCAGAGCCCCCAGCTTTCAGGACTGAACTCTGACCTCCATTCTTCCAGCCTGAATTCAGCCTGCCGGAGGGCACGGGGCCAGGCCAGAAGGCCCTGGGAGGCTGAGGCCCTGGCATGCCTCCAGAAGTAAGCAGCAAACCTCAGCAAAAATGTCCCCGACGGGGACAACAGGGAAGCAGGTCAGTGGCCTGGGAGGAGCTGGCAACATGGGGTCTGCAAAGCCAAGGCGGGAGCTGCCAGCAGAGAACAAAGGGGTCTTGGAGAGAGGGCCCAGGCCCAGCT